AAGCGCTCATGAGATGGCAAGACGACCTCATGGGAGGCCGTGAATTCACAGTAATCACGGACCACAAAGCTTTGGAATATTTCAAAGCGAAAAACCACAACTCAGGAAGACACCTGAGATGGCAAGCCTTTTTCGCAAGCTTCAATTGCGAAATAAAATACGTGGAAGGCCACAAAAACAAAGTGGCAGATGCACTCTCAAGATACTACGACTCGTCAACGGACGAGGATCTGCATTTCGACGATTATGTGTCGGCAGACATCCACCTGGACAAAAATGCAGAAGATATCATTCCCGACAGAATCGAGGAATACGAAGAACTGCTACTAAGCAGTACCCTGAGTAAAAACTCAGAGAAAAAGAGACTCGCAGCGATACGCGCGAAAAACACCCTAGAGGAAGCTCTAGGGGGGAGCGATAACCTAGAGGAAACTCTAGGGGGGAGCGCCCAAAATCTGGAAGAAATCATAACTCCAGAAAAGAACCTTCGAAAACAATTCGAAGAAAAAGACCTCATTGAGGCAATAAAATCTGGATACTTGAAAAGCCAGATCCACCGGGAAATCCTAGAGAACCCGGGGAATTTCAAAAACTTCTCCGTAAAAGACGGACTGATAACCCGACTTGGAGAAGGAGGAACGACCCAGATAGTAGTCCCGAAAGGAAACTACGAAAGGAAGTCCATTCGGGGAATAATCCTCGAGAGCATCCACGAAACACTTGGACATCTAGGATCCAAGAAAACAGTGGAAACCCTCCGTCGACACTTCTGGTGGAAGTCGATGAGAAAAGACACCCACAAGTTCTGCAGGTCTTGCGGAACTTGCCAAACAACCAAGAAAAGCACCAGGAGAAATCCTGGAATGCTTCACCCACTCCCGACCCCCGAGGCACCATGGTCATCAATAGCCATGGACTTCACAGGTCCATTCCCAACAAGCCTGGGATATGATTACCTCTGGGTAATCATCTGTAGGTTGACGTCCAACGTCCACCTAATTCCAATAAAAACAACAATGAACGCACTAGAACTAGCATTCGTATTTCTTCGTGAAGTTGTAAGACTCCACGGTCTACCACACTCGATCATATCAGATCGAGACTCGAAATTCACGTCAAAATTTTGGCGCGAACTACACCGAATACTCGGTGTACGGTTGAAATTCACAACTGCATTCCACCCGCAAGGCGATGGCCAAGCGGAAAGAATGATACAAAAAGTAGTACAAATACTACGCGCGATGGTTAGACCAGACCAACGCAACTGGGCAGCGAAACTGTCGATGGCGGAATTCGCGATCAATGCGAGCTCGAACACATCGACAGGATTTGCCCCGTTCGAATTAATCTACGGCCATATGCCAAAAATGTGCCTAACAGCACCACTCTCGGACTACCCGGGAATAAACGACTTTGCTCAAAAAGCGAAGGAAAACCTCATGGCAGCACACGACGCGATAATACATAATCGCGCTGCTCAAACAATCCAGGCGAATAAGAAAAGACGCCTGGACCCGCCTTTGAAAAAAGGCGAGCTCGCATACTTATCCACAGATAAGCTGAACCTACCCAAAGGCAGGGCAGGAAAACTAAAGCCCCTATACATAGGGCCTTATGAAATCCTGGAAACATTTCCAGAAACGTCCAACTACGTCCTCAAGTTGCCACCACAACTTGAACAACGCGGAATCCACCCAAGATTCCATGTATCCCGGCTAGCACCTCACGAGCCGAATGACCAGGAAACCTTCCCAAATAGGGAAGTAAACATATTCTACGATTTCGGGGAAGACCCTGATCGCGAAGCAGTAGTTCGCGAAATCCTAAACCACGCGTGGGTTCACAACGAACTCTGGTTTAAGGTTAAATGGGAACTAGGGGACACCACATGGGAACCCCTAGGAAATTGCGACGACCTCGTCCACCTGGACGAGTACCTCACCTTACAAAATGTAAGGGAACCAGAAAAACTCCCTATCAAAGAAGACAGGGAACTCTCGGCATTATTACGCCCCCAAAAACGGAGGCGGAAGAAGTAAAGCCGAGGGACGATGGCCCACAGCCAAGAGCGTGGGAAAGTTCTGGGCGAGTAACTCGCCCGGACAGCCACACCATGTACAAGAAATCACATGGGCTAGGCAAGCAACTCGCCTAGACCACGTGAACCACAGGCTCACGTGCAAAAGAACACACAACCGCGGCGAATCCCACGCACACAAGAACGAAGACCCCTCCCACCGCCACGAGTAACATAACGACGAGATGTCGTTCTCTGGGGGAGGCAACCCTCGGTTCGATCCAAACAAACCGCCGGATATCGAAATACGACAACCCGGGGAGCAAGGCTCCCCGGAACAACAACAACACCAGGCGCAGATAAGCGCCATGGATTACACGACGCATGCAGCACAAATGAGTGCTGCGAACCATCAACCATCCGCATTGCCAACAGGCATCGCACACCCCCAGCCTCCCCAAAGAGGCTTCCAACCATACGCGGTGCAAACTGCACCGATGGCGCAACAAGCGCCATTCCAGGGGCAGCATTTGCTGCTGCAGCCCCAGGCATACTCCCCAGGGAACTTCCCTGGCCAGATCAACCCCTGGTTTAGCCAATTCGGCCCAGGTCCAACAATGCCCCAGCCAAATGCAGGCTGGGAATCAGCCATCGCGTCAGCGGTAGCTGCTCAGACAGGTCAACTCCGTGAGGAGCTGAAAGAAATGAAGTCCCTCGTAGGAGGGAGACGAGGGAGCGACAGCGGCTCCTCGTCCAGACCGTCCAAGCGGGCACGGTCTAATAACTCGAGGGCGTCAGAAGACGCCTGCGACCATTGCGCCCACTGGAGGCGCGAATACAATAGAGCACGAAGAGATGCTGAGGGCATCTTTGACTCTCTGAAAGACGCAGAGAGAGAAGTCGATCTCCAAAAAAGGGAGATCGAATTACTGAAACGCGAGCTCAGAGAGGCACGCGCACTGGCAGACCTCGCTGCCAAACCCATCATGACAGGGGCCTCCCAGGTCAGGGGGAGGGGATACGGTTCCGGGCCTCATGAGGCGCGACCCCAAATGGGGACTAGCGCATCAAGGGGTGGGGCACCGACTATCCCGCCACCCCATGGGCAGGCGACCCTGTCCGGGTTGCATAAAGGCCCGCCCTCAGAGGGGCAAACCCATGTCGAGGGGAAGAGGGAGAGTGGTAGGCAACCGACGGCAGACCCTAAAACGGGGACCACTGCCAGAGGCGGTGGGCCACTGAGTACCTCAGCACCCTATGGGCAAGCCACCCTGCAGGGAAGTGTCCACATGCTATACGAGACCGCCGAACTCAACGAGTTCGGCAAAGTCGAAGCTCCAGTCGACATAACAATCGACCCCAACTTCCCCATGAGGAGAATAGCGGGGTCAGAAGCGGCGCATGACGCCACATACGCTTGGTGGACAAGCATGAGTGGGAAAGAATTCGTACACTGGTACGAACAGGCTGAAGCCGCCTTCAAAAGCGGCAAGGTACACAGAACCCTTCGCGAAAAAGCGAAGGAAACCGAGAAATACTTCTTGGGACTCCCGAGCATCGCAAGACTCGCGGAGGAATATAATTCCCCGGAGAACAAGGGAAAAATCTCCTGGGAAAGTCTAGGCAAAGCTGCCTACTTAAAGTCCCAGTTCAAACCACTCAGGACTCCTGAGGAACGTGCCGCAAGAACGGCGGAGCAGGAAGCGAAAGCTTCCAAATACCGGGAAAGAGACGCAAGTCTCCGAGCTGGACAACCAGCCCAACGACCATCCTTCCCCACGGGAAGAACGGTAAACCTACCGTACTCTACACCTGAGCCAAGCAGCTCAGGAACACAACAACCCGCTCCCACCCAGGGAGCACCCACTTCGTCGAGCCCACAGCCCAACAATGTAGCCCAGGCTACGTCATCGCATCCGACGCAGCAATCGGATGTCCAGATGAACAACCCGGAGGAAAACCCTCCTCCGGGGCAATGAATCCACCCTTGAGAGAAGGGAGAGTGACACGGTAATACGCCATCGAGGCGCCCGTGAAAACACCCCCCCCAACTCGAGGCCCCGCACACAATACTGTATGCGAGGAACCGCAAGTAACAATTGCGGAAATCTCCACTCCGCCAAAAGACCCACACCCACCACCGCTCGTGTGTAAACACCACTTACACACGAACCCTCACAGAACAAGTGAGGAACACCAAAGAAATACAACCTTTGGGTCGAAATCCATTTTCGACAAACTCCACCACTTCTTTCTTCTCTCCCTGCGATACCAATGTATCGCCGTTCACTTCAAAGTAACGGCCCACACTCATTCAAACCCCTTCTCTTCCTTTCACCAACATGTACAAAATCGCCCACTTTAAAGTGGCGACAACAGAAACACTCATTGATAATTCCAAACTCAATGTAAACCAACTATTAAAATTCTGTTTTTATTCACTATCAACTTTGTATGCGTCGCATATGCAACGCAAGGGGGGAGAATGTCAGGGCAATAGCCCCGAACCCCGAGTCACATGTAAACTAGATAGATATAGTCACGTGGACAAGCGGGAACCTCCGGGTAACCGCTTACACACCACCGTAAAATACATCATCTTGTATCACTTACGGCTTTGTGTGCTGAGCAACCCCAAAGACCTCACACTATATCACCGCCACCACCGCCACACTCACCCCGCACCCACAGTGGGCCCTCTCAGGATCTCCTGCGGAGGCACCTGGAGAGCCATGGCTGTGTGTGAGCTTGCCCCATGTGATCGATCCTGCATGTATATAATAACAGCTGGAGTGGGAACCGAAGAAGTAGCCTTCTTCTCACATTCCCACTTCAGGGAAGTAGTGTAGCCTTCCCTTTTAATGATAACTCACCTTCCCACTTCAGACTAAGTGGTCGGGGACGCTCACCCCACAACGGGATTGCCGCTACGCACAGCTGCTATTCGTCCCACCGAGTCCTGCATGCCAGGACCTTGCCGCTTTCAGAGCTGTCCCTGACAGTCCGAGGAGGTGGAGGTGTAGTAGGGGAGGTCTGGAGGTAGGAGGTAGAAGGTCCAGAAAGGGGAGTGAGAGTTGAGGTATGTCCTGAAGTTCTGAACAGCTTGTCAGTACTCTAGTAACTTACCAGAACAATGTAGGAGTTCTGGAGGTGATGCAGACGTGGATGGGAGGAAGGGCAGAAGAGAGTCAAAGGAGGAGGTAGTCCTAGGATCATTGGCATTGACCAGAGGCAGCAGAGAGAGATTGGGAGGGCTGGTGGAGGTTATAGGAGTCGTCTAGGACTAGGGCAGAGGGAGGTGGAAGATCTGGGATATGACACTTGTGATCCACCCCTATATTGACACTTGATCCATCACTGTCATATCCCAGATCTTCCACCTCCCTCCACCCTAGTCCTAGACGACTCCTATAACCTCCACCAGCCCTCCCAATCTCTCTCTGCTGCCTCTGGTTGATGCCAACAATCCTAGGACTACCTCCTCCTTCGGCTCTCTTCTGCCCTTCCTCCCATCCACATCCGCATCACCTCCAGAACTCCTACATTGTTCTGGTAAGTTACTAGAGTACTGACAAGCTGTTGGGAACCTCAGGACATATCTCAACTCTCACTCCCCTTTCCGGACCTCCTACCTCCTACCTCTGGACCTCCCCTACCACACCTCCACCTCCTTGGGCCTCTTGTTCAAAGGATATGGACCTTGGTCACCTACTTGTTGTTGGTAACCCTCAACTTGTGAATGGCAAAGCAGAAGATATTGCCCAAGAGGGGGATTTCACAGTCATTGTAGACCTGGATCATGTGATGGCAATGTTGGGTGATGCAGGTGGGGAGAATGGCACCATGAATGGGGACAGTGATGATGAGCTACAGACCTCATAGCTTCTGCAAGTCTTCACTAGCCCCTTCTGGTTGGCAACATCCTTCTCTGGCATCCATATCGTTCACAATATCTCCTAGTTACGTTGGTGAACGCTCCTCATTGACTTCCAGTGTCACAACGCCCGAGTCTACGCTCAGGCTCAGAAAGTCAAATTCCTTTTGATAACAGTACCCTCATGGCAATCCATACCCTTCCTTAGTCTGCAACATTCTTCGTTCATGCTCACAACCTCAGTACTATTCACATCAACTTTGACTTCAAGTGCCACGATGCCCAAGTCTACGCTCAGGCTCAGAAAAGCCAAATCCCCATTGATAGCTGCACCCTCACAGCAATCCATACCCTCATCATTTGTCTGCACTATTTGCAACCTTGCATTGACAAATGCTCCTCATCAACTTCAAGTGTTGCAACACCTGTGTCTACACTCAAACTCAGACACTGAGTAATAGTAGTCATCTCAACCTTCATTCTCATTTCGCTCATATCCCCAAATGACAGAATGCAGACAACACAATGGTGTCCCTTCGATCGTCTGCAGGTCATACTGCCATCTCACACCCATGTAGCATCACAAAGGCCAGCCTGGGTGATCGACCACAATGACTTCGTTGCTCAACATGAACATGACATGTCTTACATGTTTGTGTATTGCAATGGCTCACACTCTGTGCAAAATGGGGTCACAAAGACGGGGTACAGGGTCGCTATTTATTTTGATGGTCAGGAGATATTGGGGATGGGGGGCTCGTTGGGATGGGGGAGTCTGATGGATGCCGAAATGAGAGGCTTGCAAGGTGCAGCAGCGGAGATGAGCCGCATACTCAAGAATGAGATGCTGGTCCTGTTGTGAGGCAACAACTGTCAGGGAACACATGTGCTCATGCAGGTTGCTCTGATAACCTAGTTGTGATTAAAGCCAGGGGAAAGGAATGTCCCCATCTTAGAGTCAGCTATATACATGTAGAGTCCAGCAATAAGGAAACCAAACAGATTGCCGATAGAATCACATGATCATAGAATGTTCCAGAACAATGCCAGAGATGATCTGGGCCACCAGGGCTTAGGTAAGCAGAGTAGACGGGAATTGCTGGCATAGTTCCCACATGCATATGTGCAGCTGGCATAGGGTCCAGGGTCATTGCTGATCCCTGACAACAACCTGTGACTCACCAGCAAGCACACATGACCTGCATGTGACCTACAGTCCTCATGATCACGAATATATAGTTTCTTGTTATTTGGGATTGTTTTCTTTTTCCTCAGTTCTCGCCATGGAGACTGAGGTCAGTTTCCTCTTTGACATTCCTCATAACTTAGTAACTCATTCCAACCAGTACATTATAGGTTAGAATGCTAATAATATCAGTTCTCACTATGGAGCCTGAGTACATTATTATAGCCCTCCATTAGGTCCAGGGGGTGACACATGTATATATTTTCACTGACAACACAAACTCCATTGGAAGAATTGTCAGGAGGGTGGGAGGGTGGCCATATAGCAGGAGGTTTAGGAAAATAATCGGTAACCTATTGTGCTGTCAGAGCGGTGTTGAAGTTGTGTCAGGGCACACCCACCTGACCCTGTGCCGCACCCCACGCCATACTGCACTACTCCGCTTCCCCTGCTATCACTCCCCATCCCTCCTTCCCCATTTTCCCCCTTTCTCTCTATTTCTATTCTATGGTCAATTTCCCTTTCTCCATGTACCACTACATACCTAACCCTGCCCCCCTGATCACCACATGTGCCATGCACACTCCTGCCTACTGAACAGCCACCTCCGGGATCTCCTGTGGAGACACCCAGGGAGGTGCGGATGTGTGCAGAGATGATGTGGCTTCCTCCACATGACCCTAGCTGCATGTATATAATAGCGCCTGGGGTGGGAACAGAAGAAGCAGCCTTCTTCTCAACTTCCCACTTCAGACTAAGTGGTCAGGGATGCTCACCCTGCAATGGGATCGCCGCTACACATAGCCAGTATTTGTCCCACCGAGTCCTGCATGCCAGGACCTTGCTGCTTTTGGAGCTGTCCCTGACAAGTTGTGGTACAGTGGTGTCCATCTCATTCCAGTGTGAGGGGGAATGTACAGGTGGACCAACTGGCAAAGTTGTTTGCTTTGTAAATTTATTATAATCTGCACATAAATGGTTTCTTGCTGACAAGATGAATGCAATAATGTATCATACAAAGCATTGATGATTCATAATTCAGTGGTTAATTCTTCTACTGTTTACGTGGTGGACATCGCTGGTTATCAACATTGGGGGCCCCTGTAAGGGATTAACCTTACTTCACTATAATTCCGATTATAGTGATATCATTATGTTGCATCGCTATAATTCCCATTATAGTGATGCTATTATTTCTTTATTTATTTGTGCTGAGATATGTAATTTACATATATATACCTCCTCGGAGTAGTTGTAAAGGCCCAGTAGCCTTTTACCTCTACCCCATTGAATATACAGCTCATCTTTAGATGGACTAACTGAGGCCTAAGGCGAACAGGGGAATGGAACATTACCGTCCCCAAATAAGTAAGCAACCTTTCAGCCCCAAGGGGCCACCTCTACACCATGTTAGTTACTGATTTAGATTGGGGGCCCCCATAGTAGGGGACCCCTTAGGGTATGTATGGCAATGCAAAATCAAGGCCCTATTGGGCCTGGATCCTGGCTTATTATGCTGATCAAATGATGCCACCCAAGCACTGATCAACTCAGAAGGTGAGACCACCATGCAAGCCAGTGCAATTAGGAACAGCAGCTGGTAAGCAATGAGCTATGGCTGCCAGCATGACATGGCTGATTAGGTTGTGGGCAGTAGGGGAAGAAAGTGAGGGGCATGCCAGAACCTGAAGCCACGCAAAACCCATCAGGTTGTCACTACACCAGGTCCAAGTGAGGGTGCCAAGTGTCAGGGGACGACTCATGGGTCCCCATGACCCCCCATGGCCCACAATCCTAAAGACAAACAGCCCTGTCCAGGGCACACTGCTGTGGGTAAGAAGGTGAGAAGGAAGCTAATTTCTGTCATATCCCAGATCTTCCACCTCCCTCCACCCTATTCCTATACGACTCCTATGACCTCCACCAGCCCTCCCAACCTCTCTCTGCTGCCTCCGGTCAATGCCAACAGCCCTAGGACTACCTCCTCCTTTGACTCTCTCCCACTCTGCCTCCCATCTACGTCTGCATTACCTCTGGACCTCCACTACCACACCTCCACCTCCTCGGACCCCTTGTTCCAAAGGAGAGGGACCTGCTCGTTGTTGATAAACCTCAACTTGCCTATCCACTCTCCTTCTTACTTCTGGTCTCCACACCTCCGGTACCCCCCCATTCCTACCATACCTCCGGTCTTGATAATCTTTATTGTTTTATCATTTTATATTTTCTACAACCCCAATCTTCCGGACTACAACTTCCAGGCTCCAGACCTTTCCAGACGTCTCCCTCTGTAGTCCCTTGCTCATTCTTAGACAGCTCCAGGCCTTGCCATTCAGTTGGCTTTTATTCTCCCACTCCACAAACCTCAGATGTAATTCAGGCTTTTCGCCTATTCCTTATTTGTCATGTGGATTCTTTCTATTTACTTCCCCTTCCCCTTGGTAACCTTTGTTTACCTTCAGATCCAAAACTGTTCTGATATATGTACATGTGTACCCCTCCAGTAAATAGTTCCCCCAGTTATAATATAGAAGTCTTAAGCCCCTCGAAAAACCTCCTCTAGGATGTCTATCGTGTCCCACTTGTCTGCTACTCTACCCAGAACTAAGAACTGAGTAACAGGCACGTCTAAGGTGCCTTGGTATAAAAACCAAAAACAAATCACATGATGAACGATTGACCCTTGCTAACACCTCCATCGTTAAGTAGTGAGGGGGGGCCTATGGCCCCCTTCTGCTGGTGGCCTCAGTTCCTCCATTGCCAGCTCCCCTGACAAATTGGGGACAATGAGAATGTAACAGGCACAGTGCTCCATTCTGAGTCGCTGAAGCTGAGTCCCTTCAACACCCCATCACCCTCAGAGCTCCGCTCCACCTCCGGTCTGTCTCTGACCCACCATTGGACAACCCAGAGTACCGAGCTCCACCAGACAGCATCACCTGGATAGCAATCAGACCTATCCAAGGAATGTTCTTCTGACAACTTCTGTAAGGGGTTGGTGTAGGTGCCAACCCTGGTTAGCCTAGTTCCTCAGGCTGCCAACAAAAGTAACTTGTATGAAGTTATTATTTGCAACAGTATGGGAGGAAAGGCTAAGTTGCTCTTTCCACGTTCCCACACTATTGTATGTACTTTGTATATACTTGTTTATTACAAGACAATTATACAATGATGTAATGGGAAATAAGGGGTGGGGTTACCACTCCTTACAACTTCTCACCTTCCCACAGTGGCCCAATATAATCGAAAACTTCCAGAGATATCCAGAAGTCACATGAGGCCCGAGACCCAGGGCCTGGGGCATCCAGCTGCATGGAGCGTCCGGCACAGGGTGCATGCAGGGGGTGCAATGGCTGGGTGTGCGTGTGGATGCAGGTGTGAGTGTGGGTGCAAGTGCAGGTGTGGGCTAGGTCAGGGTGTATGCCCTGACACCGAGGTGGTTGCACTTGTACAGCAAATGTGAGAGAGGATTTCCTTGCAGTGAGACTTTGTTGGAGTGGAGCGAACAAAGGGCCAATGTGAACATGTTCAATTCAAAAAGGCAACTCACTGCTGGACTGACATACCTTGTTATTTTCTCCCTTCTTACCTACAGACCAGTAGTTTGATGTCCCCTTGGGGGATTATGAATACATATATGATTGAGGCTAGAATGATACATTGCTGGTGGCTGATAGGTATACATTCTATGTTTATACTTATTATGAAACAAACATTGTATGTTCACATGACTACTCAGTGGTGTTACAGAACAGAGAAGTGAGAAAATAATGAAAATCGATGAAATGTTGTTGTTAAAGAAATGGGTTATGGGTAATCCATTTCTTTCCATCCTTATAGACGACTTGGAATCGTCGACCTCGTGTATGTAGGGTGGCCTAGTCGTGTAATGAGTATTGTCCGATAGCCTTGGGGCTTTTGACAGAAAGCTGGGACCTCACGGTGAATGGGAGTCTGCTACAACAGATACTTGGTGCTCGTTACGTGAGTGTACTGTGCGCGGGTGTATAGGGTCACAGGCAAAAGGGATATCCAGAACTGGACCAGTCGAGGACAAAGGGCTAGTGGGTACTTGGCACTCGAGGGAGCGTACCGGTAGCGAGTGATATAACAGCTCCTTGGCACCCAGATGGGCGTACCAGCAACGAGTGAGAATCCAGCTCCTTGAGGGAGCTGCTTGAGGCTGGGTTGACGGATACTTGGCGCCCAGATGGGTGTACTGGCAATGGGGTGTGAGACCATTCGTTTGGCAAACGGTCTGTATTCATGTCAACGGGTACTTGGCACTCGTATGAGCGTACCGGTGATGGAGGGGTTAGTCGATCGTAGGTCGAACAACACGTGGTGGGATCGACGGCTACTTGGTGCTTGCGAGAGCGTACCAGTGT